GCAAAGGTAAGTATATAAACACTTTATACACAGGTTGGGCTTTTATTACATCATAGTTACATAGTTAGTCTGGCTGAAAAAAGACAAAAGTCCATCCAGTTCAACCATAGAAAAAAAAAGTTATAATCCTATACCCACAGTTGATCCAGAGGAAGGCAAAAAAAAAAAAACAGCAAAGCACGATCCAATTTGCTCCTGCTGGAAAAAAAATTCCTTCCTGATCCCCCGAGAGGCAATCAGATATTCCCTGGATCAACTTTACCTATAAATGTTAGTATCCAGTTATATTCTGTGTATCTAAGAAAGAATCCAGGCCTTTTTTGAAGCAATCCATTGAGCTGGCCAGAACCAACTCTTGAGGGAGTCTATTCCACATTTTCACAGCTCTCACTGTGAAGAAACCTTTCCATGTTTGGAGATTAAATCTCTTTTCCTCCAAACGTAAAGAGTGCCCTCTTGTCCTCTGTGATGACCTCAGGGTGAATAACTCTACACCAAGTTCACTATATGAACCACTGATGTATTTATACATGTTGATCATATCCCCCCTTAATCTCCTCTTCTCAAGAGAGAATACATTCAGTTATTCTAACCTTTCCTCATAGCTGAGCTCCTCCATGCCTCGTATCAGTTTGGTTGTCCTTCTCTGTACTTTCTCCAGTTCCCCAATGTTCTTTTTGTGAATTGGTGCCCAAAACTGAACTGCATATTCCAGATGAGGTATTACTAATGATTTGTACCGGGGTAATATGATATCTCTCTCTCTGGAGTCTATACCTCTTTTAATACAAGAGAGGATTTTGTGACTTTTGACTCTGTGGTGAAAGGGTCACTTTATAAGTTTGTTCGTTTTTTCTGTGCCATAAACTGTTTTTGATGAATCACAGAAAAAATGAAAACCTGTATTTTATGGGTGGTCTGTATTAAAAGACAGTGGAAGGGAATATTTTAGGCAGGGTTTAACATATTCTTCAAGCAGCGTGAGGCATCAGGCATTGACACTGCATATACTCTGTTCTTCATCTCATACAAATGAGAGTCTTATGATAAGCTTTTAATTGTATCAATAAAATAGAGGGTGAAAAGTTGAGAAATGTGAGGAATTTCTTAATTGGTTTTAATACATCTCTGCTGATTAGGATAAATGAAGCAGAACATGAAATCTTATAATCTTAGACAAGGAGCAACATGTGTTTAAATCAATCTCTTGCCCACTTTTCTCCAGTTGCTTGTGTTGGTAAAGTAGACCTAACCTCTATTTAACACAACTCTTTCATATCTGCCCCACAATTTACTATTATGTTCTGAGAAAGAAAAACATATTTGTCTATCAACAGATGTGAGCTATGTTTGCCTTCTGACACTTGTCCATAGGTGTATTTGACCTGATTGTCTTTGGTAATTTGTACAGGCTTTTTTTTTACCATTTGTACAGGCATGTTTGTGCATTTTTGCAGGTGTTTTGCATGTTTTTTTAAATTATTTTGTAGCGAATGGAAAGATGGTTATCAGGAGAAAAAAGTTGCAATATGCCCATTTTCGCATGCTTTTCAGGCATTCCCATTGAAGTTTTCTGGTACCAAAAAACAGTTGAAGTGTGTAGGTCAAAAGAAACTCATGTACTGTATCTTTTTGAGTTACATGTTTCAAGCAACACTATGCTCAGGTGTGAACAGGCATAACTGAAACCCATGGGATTTTGGATGTTGAACCTTTTTGCTTGGGTGAGAAGGGGGCCTTATAGGCATCATCTACATTCAGATACAGCTACTGATTGACCTGCTCTGGTTGAATGTCAACCTTTGACAGAAAGCATGTGACCTACCAACATAGCTGTTTTTGGGTTCCATCCTGATGGAGCCAGGGGCTGCTTATAGTAGAGTAGAGTATTAATCAATGTAGGTCCATGGGGCCCAACCTGTGGTCCTTTGGTACTTATTGTGCATCCATTGGGCCCTAGTAGGCAGTTGTCAATGTCATCCCTTTCTAGGTGCTTACCCATGATCAGTGAAGGAAAAATATTCATTACACTGATTTCTGTTACATAAATGGTTTCACCTTCTTAACACTTTCCTGATTTGTGCAGTTTTAAGGCTTGACATGTTGGGTATCTACTAACTCATCGTAACCTCAGCTTGTATGTTTTACTAAAAAAATGCTTAATTTATGGAGTGTGTGTGTGCACTAGAGTTAACTTATTTTTTTAACCGAAAATTTGCATTTGAAATGCGCTAATATCATACAAAAATAGTAAAAAAATTGTGTAAAATGTGCACAAAAAAGTGACATACAAAAATTGCAACTACCACAATTTTATTCTCCAGGGTCTCTGCTTTCAGAAAATATATACTGTTTGGGGGCTTGAAGAATCACTCATGGAAGACTTTGTCTAATGGAAAACAAAGGATAATATGTGTGCAAAAAAGATATAGTTGTTTTCTTTAATTGAGGATCTTTTTCATACTTGGAGTAGTTTAAACCATTTAATTTAGTGTTCTTTGTATTTGTATTTTTTGCTTTTATTTTTGTGTATTTGATTGTTATTTGTGAACTGTCACTTTACATTTTACTTCACTGTCTGTGTTTTTCTTTCTGTGAACAACGGTAAAATTATGAGGCTAATGGGGGGCTTATTTGGCACAAAACCAGGTCAAGGACAACTGAAAGGAGTCTCTGTAACCTTCATGGGTCATTTAAAGCCCATTGTGTTGTTAAAAACCGATACAAAAAAATCTTCATTTGCGTTTCCCTTTGACTCCATTGCATTTAATAAAAATGGTGAAAATACAATAAAATCATTTTGATTTTTTCTGAAGTTTTGGGGAGATAAAAAATCTCAGTTTGTTCACTGCTAGTGGCTCTATCAACTATAGCATAAATCCCTATTTACAAATATGCAAAACTGTTCTTTTTTATTAAAATACCATTTAAGTTTTCTGGTCTGTTTGTGATTAGTGAGTCCTACAGGCAAAAAAAGGGAAGGAAAGAAAAACTTTTAGGTGTATTTACTTAGAACTGAACCTCTTTTTGAATGGTTCAAATTTTAAATTTTGGTATCCAGAAGGGAGTGTCCATTCAAAAGGGAAAACAATACTGACTGCACAATTTTGTGCACGGGTATGAAATGTCAGTGAGTTATCAACTTTGACAGGGCAGACACAAGAATGACACATGGCCCTTTTGTCCTGTAAGTTGTTCAATCACAATATGAGGATGAAAGAGCAGTTAAACAGTCATTTAGGGAAAAAGTCGATTTAATGAGGGTTTGGGTATGCAAAAGCGGGTCTCGATGGAAGCTTGATGACCAGAGATTCCACAAAAATATGTGCCAAAAAAGTTTGAAATTACATATTGTAAGGTTATGGTTATTCCATTAAAGAAAGAATACACAAGTAGACTTTTTTTTGCCAAACTCTGAAATCTGATTGGTTGCATAGGTAAATGCACACTCTTCAATCAAGGTACTGCATTTCATATGGTAAGTGGTCTTTATTAAATGGTATTTCCACTTTACACAGTAGGCAGTGGGAGTGGGGGATATTTATCAAGTAAATCACAATAATAATTTGATGCAAATCATGCTGCCTATCATTTAGTAATGCATATTTGACAATGTTTGTTTGTATTTGTAACCCCCGTAGTTGGGATCCTAGCAGCCAACTGAGACAAACGTGCACAGGTCTCTGACAGATTTAACACTAATAACCAGCAAATTTTCACTTTAAATAGATGCAGAATTGAGGAGTTGTCAAGGACAGGTTTTATTCTGTATTTTTACAGCAGCAGAAGTAAAGTAAAGTTAAAGTAAAGCTGTGTCATAATCTGTCTCACTGTTGCTTTTTAACATTCTCACTAAATAGATTCTCTGTGGCTGCAGGGAATTCCACAGAACTCATATAAATAAGATATCTTTCTGACTTTAACGTGGCTGCAATGTTTACTGGATGATGAAACCCATATTAGCAGCACTCTAAATGATGTTACACAGCACAGCCTCATTTGGAGGGCAAGAGACCTATTTTTTTGCTGCAGTTAAAGTGATTGTAAACCCGTATATTTTTTTTTAATAACTAACTAGTTTTACTTACCTGATCTGGGCAATGGTTTAGCACAGAGCAGCCCTGATCCTCCCCCTCTGAGTGCTCACCATAGCAAGCTGCTTGATATAAGGGCACTTGTGTGGGCTCACTCCCAGGCCGGCTCTGTGTGTCCATAGACTCACAGAGTGCAGCTCGACCCTGCTCCCTCCTCACTGGCTGTGACTGACAGCTGCAGAAGCCAATGGCTCTCACTTCCGTCTCTGAGCCTATGAGGGAGAGAGCCGCTGCTCCCGTGCACATTACTGGATCGAGATCGGGCTCACGTAAGTATGAGGGGGGACAGGGGGAGGCAGCTGTACTCAGGAGGTAATGCAGAGAATGCAATAACATAAAAAACCTTCAGCCTCTAGAACAGTGGTTCTCAACCTGTGGGTCGCTACCCCTTTGGGGGTCGAACGACCCTTTCACAGGGGTCCCCTAAGACCATCAGAAAACACATATTTCCGATGTGTAAAGAGCAGCTGCTGTGTTGAAAGCAGCTACTCTGTTAAAAGCAGCTACTGTGTTGAAAGCAGCAGTATTGGAGGTAAAACGACACTCATGAATTATAATTACTGGGTAAATAATTTTATGGTTGGGGGTCACCACAACATGAGGAACTGTATTAAAGGGTCACGGCATTAGGAAGGTTGAGAACCACTGCTCTAGAACGACTTTAAGTAAAATGTACAGCTTTCGTTCCTTCTCCAGCCTTTGACAGATATTTGTATGTAAGATAGCTGTCAGAAACCTCGTGCACCAAGTGCTCATTTTTGTACACAGGTGTCATGGTGTACTTAGGCGCCCCACAGATTCTGGCATTTGGCAGCCTATTTAACCACTTCCTGTCCAGCTCATGTAGATAAACGGCTGGAAGGGAGTGCTGCCGATGCAGGTGGATGTTTTTAAACATCCGCCCACATCCATTGTCTTTGCGTGCTATCTGGGAGTGGGGAACACCGATCGCTCTATGTGAGGTCCCGATTCATGTGATCACTGATTGGCCAATCAGTGATCACATGAATAGTAGTAAACAAGATGTCACTTCCTGACATCATTGCTTACTACTTGTGAAATCTGTTAATATTCACAACAGCCATGTGACAATCTGTGACCAATCACAGCTCTCACAGTATTTCCCAATGGCAGGAATGCAGCCAGAGAGAAGGAGAAATGATTGCTTTTACAGCCTTTAAGAAAAAAAAAATCTTCATCACCCCCCACAAGTAGCACAGTGTCACTATGGTGACACTATACTGCTAGGGTGACATTATGTAAAAAAAAACATAAATAATAATATCAAAAAAAAGTTTTTAAAAAATGTCTTGAAAAATTATAATTTTTAGTTAGAAACTAATTTGGGTTATTTTTTTACTAAACAGATAGATGAATAAATTTTGGCCAAGATTTATGAAGAAAGATTATTTATTTTCAAAATGTTATAAGAAAAACACTTATTTTCAACATTTTTGGACTTTTTCATTTATATAGCAAAAAAATCTCAGTGGTGAATAAGTTTTATCTCAAAAAAATTCTAAAAAATTCATATGGGTACAGTGCGGCATGACCACGCAATTGTCATTCAAAGTGTGATAGCACTGAAAGCTGAAAATTGGCCTGGACAGGAAGGGGGAGAAAGTGTCCAGACTTGAAGTTGTTAAACCTGAGGTCTGCCTAGCCACATTTCTGAATTGTCCTCAGCTCTGATCCCTGTGTTCTATGTTCCTGAAAAGCTGCTGATCTTGCTACTGATCTAACTATGTCTGATGCTTCTCTTAGGATTTCCTTTGCCTGTTATGCCTGCTGCTGCTCATCTGTGTTTTTGGCCTGAACCTCTGACCATGACTCTTCCACCTGATTTTGTACCATGCTCCCAGCACATTGCCAACTCCTGCCTGTCCCTGACCTTGAACCTGATTGTGATCCTGTAGCTGCCTAACTGCTGCTGAACACAGCTTGTGACCTGACTCCATACTGCCACTGGGTGGCTCTGTTTATGTCTGAGCTCAAATTCCCTGCTCCTAATTTCCTGGCAACTGCACCCTTTTGCTGTCCTAGCACTCCCTGTTTCCACTATCAGGGGTTTAGATGGAAATTGTGCAAGAGGCCATCCTAGTCATCTTGGGTTCCACATATTCAATTATATGACAATAGCATTGGAACAAAAGAAGTGAGAATTCATTCTGATGGATATACAGTGGAGTGTGTTTTTACTTCAAAGAAGCAGATCTGTGATACAAATATAGTGTGGGTGGACCTTGTTCTGGTCCAAGGGTGCTACCTTCTTGATTGCGATCACCCAGAAAAACATTACATTTTCAGATGTGTATTGAGGAGGGCCTAGTACAAACGTTCAATTAAGTGAAATTAACTTTGTACTTGATGCTCCTTACTACACATCCAAGTGTTTACCAGCCTTTGACTGGACAGTGAAAGAAGAAGCAGTAGACTGATGAGCTCATATGTCTGTCATTCTGCTCTCCTCCTATCAGCATGCTCCATCCATGTTCCTTTTTTTAAATAAAATATCAGTGAGCATTATATAGGTTCTCATTGTCTTTTAACACGTAAATACACATTGAATCATCCATCCACCCACCTAAGCTGCTGAGGTTATCCAAGAGACCTTGCTTATTAACCTCTTCACGCTGGCCGAATGCAAATGTGCAGCCTCTTGGTGTCTGGGCCTAGACGCCGAGCGGCCACACATTTGCGTTCTATTAAAAAAGAACATATGTGCTGAGAGTGCACGCCCTGCGTGTTCCCAGCACACATGTCCGGTACTCATGGAAAGGTCCCGATCTCCTATTTCGATCGGGACCTGTCCCGATCATGTGACTGCCATGATGGCATGACATGGTGGTCACATGACCCTAAACCCCGCCCCACCTCCCAGCTTCTGAAACCCTTAAAAGGCCGGGAGGCGCCGGCATGAAGGGGTTAAGATGGAAAAGAGTCCATCTAGTTTTGGAGCACATTTTGAACTTTGTTGTGGGGGAGAGTTGAGAGTTTACAGTATATCAGTGTAAGTTGTATGGGACTACTACATTCACAATTATATGAACTTTTACTGTTTTATTGTTTATGATTGGTTTGTTTATGATTCTGTTATTTTTCTGATTATTTGATGATTGCAGAATACACATACAACATCAGATTATTTATTTTATTTCATTTATTTCAGATACTTATATAGCGCCGTCAAATTATGCAACACTTTACATATATATTGTACATTCCCATCAGTCCCTAACCCTCAAGGAGCGTACAGTCTAAGGTCCCTAACTCTCATTCATACATACACATACAAGGGCCAATTTAGACAGGAGCCAATTAACCTAGCAGCATGTCTTTGGAGTGTGGCAGGAAACCGGACTACCCAGAGGAAACCCATGCAGGCACAGGGAGAACATGCAAACTCCAGGCAGGTGGTGCCATGGCTAGGACTCGAACCAACAACCCCCAGTACTGCCAGGCGGAAGTGCTAACCATTTTGCCACTGTGCTGCCCATTACAAGCATTGGTATTACTCACGGATAAAGTATTGGTGATAGCACAGCAGTTATTTTTTTATACACATTCAGGTAATTTTTTTATACTTCATGCTTGCAGCTTTAATTATTCACACGCAGCACAACTGATTGCATCTTGTGCTGCTACTCCCTCACCTAGTCTGAGCTCTGCTGTACAGAGAACTGCAAGAAGCTGATACCAAGCCATATTCAGTTGCTTACACTGCCAATATGCTCAAGGATCTATTGATGAAATACAGACCTGCATTTATGTGTGCCTTTTCTATCTGTATGAAATTTAGCTTTAAACATATAAATTCCCAAATTATTTGCACACCAAAAGAAATCTGATGGGTATAAAATCTAGTTTAAAAATGACTATGATGTTGTTTTGCCATAAAGGTTGAATTAAGTGGAAATTGCATTGATATATTCCAAACAGAATAGTCTGAAATAGCATGCCTAAAAATCCTGACCTCCATTTTAATAGAGATACGTTAATTTTCCAGTGTATAAACTGTCATTGTCACTGGTGACAGGATCTCATTAGTAAGTACAACTGCATAATTGATGCTACTAGTTAAATGAGCTGTCCCCTTGTCCCCGTGTCTCACCCTCGCCCACTATGGCAGATGGAGCAAGCAGCCCGCCGTTCAGTTGATGCACTGGTCTGGAAACAACACTATACTATTGGAGTTTGACTGACTCAGGCAGGAGACAATAGTTCTCTCTGTAAATGAGGTTACTGACTCGCTATAAAAGCTAACACAACTTTCTTTTGTTACCAGTTCAGTTAAGTGTTTTTTAATTGTCACGTTACTTTTATTGCTATGGAGGGGCAGATGATGTGTCGAAATTGAAACACTTATGATAGCCATAGAAAATAGTGCAGCGCTAAAAAGATCATAAATCTAAATAATACTTAAATAAATACAGGAATACATAAACCATGCAATGACCATACAAAAAAAAAAAAACAATAAATGGTGATAAGATCAATATTGATCTCTTAAGTGTCCAAACTCTCTAAAGTGCCCAAAATGTGCGTACAGAGGTCCTCTCTACAGCCTCTTTAAAGTGCAATCAAATAGCACACAAATAAATTTGTGCAAACAAATAACCCCTCAACACCTCCTACATAAGTAGGTCAATGATGAATCCCCAAAAAGTGGGGAAATAACACACAAAGTGATTTGTGCAAAATAAATAAATTAAATTTAAATCCAGTGACTAAACTAATAAATAAATACAAAATGCTACCATATAATAAGAAAAAAATCTATGTGAAAAATAAAAAATATTGCAATTTATAAAGTCTCTAAATGTCCATTATTCTTCCAATAAATCGTGCTTCAAAAAAACTTCCATGCAGAGTGAAAACTTGTGAGAATTGTGATCGTGTATACATACATATCCACAGTGGCTAAATTGCCCCCTCACCTCCTTTTAGCGACCCACTGGGCCACCTCACTTTCAGGATCACTCCAGTTTCCTTAACAGGCAATAGCTGGTATAAGATGTTATCCACCTGTGATCCCCCTCTCTGGTGGCTCTCACGGTTCTCCAGTCCTCTCCCGATATATATATATATGCTTTATAACAGACTCTCCCATACAAGCCATGGTGAGAAACAAAAGAACCTCCATAGTGTAGTAATTTTTAAAATTATTAGCCTTTATTTGGAATAAAAAATGCCCACTCACTTGTACATAATAAGTTATTCGCATTGGAACTTCATGCTAGAGTGTACTGCATGGGTTAGGAAAAAGGGTGTTCTAAGATGGTGTCCATGCCAGATGTGCGTCACTGCGTACCAGAATCTGCGTCACCGCGTATTTATTTAAGTATTATTTAGATTTATGATCTTTTTAGTGCTGCACTATTTTTTATGATTATATTACACTTGCTAAAAAGGTACCAGTTTAGAGTGTTGGCCGCTTTAATATATAGTTATCACTTATGATAGCCATCTTATTCTTTTACGTTGGAGAAAAAAATGTATATTATAATGTAAAAAAGTAAAACATTATTTACAGTATCTATCTCTCTCTCTCTCTCTCTGTCTATCTATCTATCTATCTATCTATCTATTTATCTTTCATTAGCTATTAGAAAAAATTATATTCCTGACATTGTGTCAAACATTTAACCAATTCCAGGAAATTCGGGTGAACCTATATTATGTCATGACTTCCTATCCAATCTGATAATTAAATCTAATAGTATGTCTAATACACTTCGGTGGTTTGTACTTAAAACTACATAAACAGAATCATCTTTGGGGCATTTAGAAGACTGTGGATGTTAGATGATGTACTATGTATTCTTACTAGAATACAGTAGAAGCTCTACACTGTTCTCTCTGTTCTAGCAGATTTCTAAATGTATCATGCCAATAAGATATTGTGTTCTAGTTGTTGTTCGCATCTCTATACCATATTTTTTTCTCTCCATAAGACACAATCCCCTCCCCTCAAAAAAAATGGGGGGAAATGTCTGCGCGTCTTATGGAGCAAATATTGACCAAGACTCCCCCCACCTCCCCTCCCCGCCGCCTTGTTAGAATACCGGGCCGGCCGCTCGACTCTTCTATGGCAGAAGAGAGGAGGAGTCCAAGTCAGCAGTGATGCAGCGCCAGGCAGGGCCCAAAGCAGCTGCCCCTTAAAGCGGAGTTCCAGCTGAAAAAAAAAAGTCAGCAGCTACAAAAACTGTAGCTGCCTACTTTCAAAATACAGACACTTACTTGTCCCTTGGTCCAGTGGTGTCCTTATCACCGCTGGTTTCACCAGCCGTCTTCTCTTCCTGGTTCCGGCATCTTTAGTGTGGGCACCAGGCTGTGACAGCTTGCGGTTTCACAACCGGGTGCCCACTGCGCATGCGCAAGAAGTGCTACGCTTTGTGAATGGCCCCGTAGTCTTCTGGGACCTGTCACGTGTCCCAGAAGACTATGGAGAGGGAGGGAAGACAACTTCCGCTTCCAATTATCTAGGCGATCGCAGTGGAAGTGGGAGCGGGTACCCGCTCCCCAAAGGTGCCAATCCTTAATGGGGAGTGGGGGTCAAAGCATTAAAGCAGAACTTCCCCTTTTGGGTGGATCTCCTCTTTCAGCCCACGCCACCCTTAGATTGGGGCCCCGATCACTGCACTGCAGAGCCGACAGGGTACGCTGAAGACATCGTTGTGAGCCCAGCCCTCAGAGAGGATGCTGAGCCCGACTGGCCAGGTATGTCCTCCCCCCTTCATAGACTACCTGTGGACTGCTATACCAAACTGTATATATGTGCATTGCTGAAAGGTCTCTCTGTTCATTCCCTGTACTATGTCTGCAGTCTCTGGTCATCTCCTGTACTATGTCTGCAATCTCTGGTCATCTCCTGTACTATGTCTGCAATCTCTGGTCATCTCCTGTACTAGGTCTGCTAACTCTGGTCATCTCCTGTACTAGGTCTGCGGTCTCTGGTCATCCCCTGTACTGTGTCCGCAGTCCCTGGTCACCCCTCTACTATGTCTGCAGTCTCCGGTCATCTCCTGTACTATGTTCGCAGTCTCTGGTCATCCCCTGTACCATGTTCGCAGTCTCTGGTCATTTCCTGTACTATGTCTGTAGTCTCTGGTCATCTCCTGTACTATGTTCGCAGTCTCTGGTCATCTCCTGTACTATGTTCGCAGTCTCTGGTCATCTCCTGTACTGTGTCCACAGTCTCTGGTCATTTCCTGTAATATGTCTGTAGTCTCTGGTCATCTCCTGTACTATGTCTGTAGTCTCTGGTCATCTCCTGTAGTACATCCGCAGTCTCTGGTCATTTCCTGTACTATGCAGTCCATTGGTTCAGAAATTTTTGTTTTCCTCCTCTAAAACCTAGGTGCATCTTATGGTCAGGTGCGTCTTATGGAGCGAAAAATACGGTACTTTATACTGTAGCTCCAAACTTTCTCTCAATTGAAGGGACAGTCCCACCTATGGAACTAAATTCAGCTGTTCTTCATTCCTTTACAAATCTTGCTCTGGTATACACATCAGTTTAAGTAAAATGTAATTACCAAAGTTGTTTTCTGTGGACCACACTTTCTTTCAACCTTTAGATTATTGCTTTGGATATTTTTAAACACTTACATAAAGAAATACATGGATGAACAATCCACAGTGAGTTTACATACTCATTCATGTGCTTTATTTCTGTGCTAAGACATGCCCTCCAAAGGTTTGAGGTCTATCTATCTATCTATCTATCTATCTATCTATCTATTTATCTATCCATCTCTATTTCTATTTTCAATCATTCATTAGCTATTTAGACAATTTATTTTTCTTTCTTTGTGGTAAAAAGGTAACCAATTTCAGTAGATGTGGATAAACTAACATTCCATAGGATATTATGTCATGTTTTCCCATCACATCTGATAATGAACTCTAGTAGCATGTTTAGTAAACTTTGCTGATTTCTTTAGCAAAACTACAAAAATAGAACCATCTCTGGGGCATTTAGAAGGCTATGGCTGGTAGATGACGAACTATGTATCTCTATTGAAGGACAGTAGAAGGTAAACACCTTCTAGACTATGGATTCGTTGACATTCAGAACATGCCCCTTACAACATCAGCATTTCCAATAATGTCTGTACATTTTTTTGCCTGGGCATTTCTTTGAAAGCCTTATAAAGTTGTGCTGAATAAGCGAATGTACTAGCTATTGTGAAACTCAACAATTTAATTAGACTCCTTCAAAACACATGTATCAATTAGTTAATCGGTTAAAGAGGGCCTTATTGTTAGAGCGAGGTCATTCGGAATCTGAAGGCTTCTTGAGGGCAACAAGCTGAAGAATAGCCGCACTGATATACTAATTAAGCTCATAAGTCCTGGGCTGTTCAGTTAGCTGAATCTCCACTAGCCCCGTTATTCTTTGATTTGTCATCAGTCCATCGTAAAGGTCTGCTAAATCTAAAACATACGTTTGTTTCATTAAAATGTCGTATGTGAAAATATATGGTAGTTAAGGTAAAACTTAAAATTCTGTAACAAAACTTTAGGATTTAACATTGTCTGTACAGGTGAGCACAACCTATTTCTGAACAGTATCAGACATTTCAGCCTGGTGAAAAGTATTGTTCTTCAATGGAACCACTGAACAGGAAGGTAAAGTAAATGTGTCTAATGAGGGCAAAGTAATATGCTCTCCTGATTGCCCACCTTCTCTTCCCCAGCTAATTCCTATCTTGCCTGCAACCCTGTTCACATGCACAAAATTGTAAGCCCTATGTATGCTTTGTTATATTCTATTCTATTCATACTCAGAGGCAATGACCTTCCGTTTGCCCCCATATGATAGTGCTCTTGCCAAATTATTGGATGTTCAGGTGTGAAGACGTTCATTGTGGAATGTATGAGAGAACACCACATGCTTTCCCATTTCCAAAGGCATTGAGGTAGGCATTAATGGGAGGAGTGTCTTACCAAAAGAAACTGTCTCTTTGCCCTAAATAGACAAAGCAACAGATTTAATTAAATTTAATATATCCATGGACTTGATACCTAAGATTGTGCCAGGATGGGATATTGATCATGATGATGTATAGGGTAAATATGGCTTTGGAAGACCTCTTGGGTAAGGCTAAAATGGAGTAAAAATCAGTCAGCTGGGTAGGGATAACTTAAATTCAGATTTGAGAAAATAGCGTATTTTGGGGTGTTTGCTGTTCTTTTGCTTGTTCTGCAAATGTCTGACCACCATTGGATATCTATGCACTCCTTCAGCTATGTACAGAAAAACATCACCCTCTCATAAAAAATAACTAGTTGATATCCCATACACAAATAACTTTGGTGAATGCTTTCCTTTAAGTGTTACCAGCAGATGTGTTACATAATAATCTATGCTGAGTTTTATGCTATGTGGACTAATAAATATAAAGAAAATGAAATGAAAATATTGTATGTGAATGTCCAGACCTTTACCTTTCTAACAATATTTTAAATGCGGACTCTTTAAAACATTAGAAAAATGAAGCTCTTTAGTTTAACATTTCTGCTCTATTTCAAGGCTTTAGATAAAACCACATTTTGCGTGTTGGACATTTTTAATGTCTTTCTTTGAAAAAAAACCTTTATGTTGTTTGCAATCCCTAACATTTTTGTGACCTCTTTCAGCAGAATTGACATAGTGGAAAAGTGAGTTCATTTAAAAGATAATTTGGGGTTACAGTGAACTAGGATGAAACATTTATAATATTTTAATTATAAAAAATGACTTGCAAAGTTAATCTATAACTTAACATCAGTTTTTGTTTAATTTATAAGTAGACCTCTGCTGCATTTTATATATCCAGCTGCAAAAGTGCTGCAATTTCCTGAATGCTTGATGTATCAGGATTTTTTTTTGGATCTTGGGATCAAAAAGTATCGAGTTCACTAGCAATATTTTCTTTTAGATATTCAGAATAAAGTTAATTGTCAATTGGACAAAGTTGAGAACCTTCATGCAATAAAGTTTGTGAATATACACTTTAGTAATCCAATCATGTAAGAAACAAATTCTTGGCTTTGAATTCATAATCATGTGCAGATGAAACAAGTAAACAGGAATTTAAGTTTCATAGCTGGATAATCTGTTGTGTGAAGATTCTCAACTTCAGTAAATCAGCCTCTCTGTGTTTAAATTGTAGACCTCCCATAGACATGAAAACAGATGCAATTTCCATTCATAAATCCTACATTTGGTTAAAAAAGAAAAGTGAGGTCGGCAATGTGTTGAGGATAGGAGTAAGAAGGCAAACATGATCTGGAAATTCTTGAAATGCACATCATAGCTACATCTGAAGCTATGATTCAAATGGTCTGGTTATGTCTCCACATCCTCCTGTCCCATGACATCTATAGCCAGCTTAAAAATAGAAAAAAGTAAAATAAAAATAAAAGGCAAGGAGGAAAGCTCCAAGTGTGAAAATCAGTAGCCCATTTAGATTTTACTTTTCTGAAGTCAGACCAGTATAAATGGATTCCAAATAGTTGCTAATCAAATCAACGTATGATAGATTCCAGTTGGTTTCTAGGTTTCTCAAGTTTGCACTTAGCGTTCCTTGCTTTTATTCATAAAATTTCAGTGCTAGTTTTGGTAAAAAATGCAAAAATGCATTTGTAAAAATAAACAATGTGTTCCAGCTGCTATATTCACCTCCTCTCCACTGCCCTTACAGGCTCACCTAGTCACAAATCCAGCTCTGTTCTTCTTCCAGGTTGAATGACACACATCAATCAATAGTATTAAACAAATACAGGAAAAAAATCTAGGTGTGTACCAACACTGTTCTACGTGTGTACTTTTTTTTAATACAGACTAAATAATTTTTATTGTTGACATTTTTGATTAATGCATAACTAAATTTTGGCACTTTCAATTTATAGCCAAGTTAATATTACAAATGTGACTTTAAGGTATATGTAAGCCAAATAACTCTAAGGGGGAGATTTACTAAAATTGGAGCACTCAGAATCTGGTGCATTTGTGCATGGTAGCCAATCAGCTTCTAATTTTAGTTTGTTCGGTTAAGCTTTGACAATAAAACCTGGATTGCCTCTATGCACCAGATTTTGCACCATAAAATTTTAGCAAATACACCCTGAGTATGTGACCTTGCAGTATATATATATATATATATATATATATATATATATATATATATAAAACATACATTATTTATATATACACTGTATGTTTATATAAAACATCCATTTCAAAGCACAATGTAACAGTAATTAAGTTCATACACAAATGGACAGTGCAGTACACTCATTAAATGTCTTCGACTGTTTAGTCAGTTGCACTGAGGCATTGTTGTGGATGACAAGACTTGTATGGCGAGGTACGGCTGCTCTAAAGCTCCTTGTAAATGGCTTCTTTGTGTTTAATTATTAGGCAGACGAATCGTGCTGTACAATATCCAAGTTCAAGGCAGGTGGAAGTAGGAGGTGGCATCTGTCTAAAAATTAAATGCCACGCTTCTCCCATCTGCTGTAATGACAATGTTATGACTGCTTGGCTTCAGCCATCCCTGTTTGGTACAAGCACAAGTCGGCCATATGCCCCAGACTATTGCACGTGCCATCGATGTGACACTGTCCCCAACGCATGCACCAAGCAGTAGGGAAAGCAGGAGGGTGGAAGGTCAGGCACGTGCTAGTTTGAGCAGGTGTCAGTCAATACAGTCAGGCTGGTGCAGTCAAACCAACCAATCGATGGAGACTTTGTGAGTCTGTGGCAAGATGGTGTGCTGCCCCAGTTGAATATTTCAGGGTGTGCTTCTTGCAGACCAGGCAAATAAGTAGATTTAAAGCACATGGCCATTCATTTTATAATCCTGTCTTAGCCTAGCCTGGCTTAGTGATCGCTCACTGACAGATGATGGGAGCTTGACAGCTGGAGCATCTTATAGAAGCCCATACAATAAAATAAAAATTAAATTAGTGACACACTTGGGGAGGTTTGTTGTGCAACAGTCATACAATCTGTTACCAACAAACATAGTGCTTATTTTAGGTTTTCCAAGATTGTAAAAGTCCTTGAAAAGGTTACAATTTGGGAGCAGAAGTCCAGTCTCAAAATTATTGCTCGAATAATACATTTTGACTATTTTGTCTGGCTTTAGATAACCCCTACCAATTATGTCCACATCTTAATTCTGAACTCACAGTATTTAACAGTATGTGGATGTACTAGTATGGATGTAACATGTGGTAGCATGTTTGTATTAAACTGTTAAATCAAAAGTGTATTTAAACTCAAGAACAAAAATATATTATATTGTTGCTTACTGTTCTTTAGATG